AAAGTATTTGATGACTATGTGGTACAAAACTATTTGCAGTATTCAATCATTCCATATGAGTGTTTCTTATGTTTATTGATAATAAAAAATACATCACACACCTACTGCTTTTTTAAATCAACTGATTCTAATTTAATTTATAAAAAAGTATAATTATTTAGTTCAATATCAAAATGCATTTGCTAATTTATTTCACTTTTACAAATTTCTTTATAAAAATTGAAAAATCAAAACATCATTAACTCCTCAACAAAACATAAGGCTAAAAATGAGGCTGAATTTGTTTTTAAAGTAGATATATAATCTTTTAATATAATATATAATCATATTATCTTTAAGATTTTTTCTAGAGCTAAATTTGTCATTGTTATTTTTTATTGTCATTAATTAGTGCATTTTGTGGATCTTAAAATAAACTTTAAATTCAATTTTAAATTCTATTGTTTTGAGAGATACTATAATTTTCAGGTTCATCGGATTTTAAAATCCTATCAAATTTTAGCTTCACAGCATTGCTACAAGCACCTTAGGAAGGGTAATAATAAGATTTAAAAAATGAATATAAATCAAAGAAAAATTAGGTCCTGTTTTGGTCATGTTGAGTTGAGATCCTGTTCTGGTCAGGTTGCAGAATGACTCCTCTCTTCAGAGAAAATACTTTCCCATTAACTAGTCTAAATAATTCTGTTTAAACTAAAGCAGAAATTATAGTTGCAAAATTCTACTTCTATGATGACATATTTTGTTCCAGTTATTACAAATATTATCTTTTTTCAACCCTTAAGGAAGCCCACCAATTTTTTACACAAATTTCATCTGGAAATCAAGATTGGATTAGACAGAATCTGATCTGTGACCATCAATATTCAATGTATTGCAAAGTTACCTTTAACATATGTGTTTGTACTTACCACGAAAACATGCGATTTTCTTTCTAACTGCTTTTAAAATTTTATAAGTAGAAACTTATTAACAAGTTTAATTATGAACACTTTAATTAAAAAAATTCTAATATCTCATCTTGAGTTTAAAAACTTACTCTATGGAGTAGAGTAAGGTTTTAGACTAGTAAGATTTAATAAGAATTAAATTATCTTGTTCTAATGCTGATTTTTTATAACAAAAAAGTTCTATTGCGTATTAGATGGATGCAATGAGGCGATGTCTATTGCTCTTGACAAAGGTTTTTGATAAAGTCTGGCGTGCTAGTTTTCTCTATAAGCTCACATTATATGGTGTCCTTAATGGAGAACACTTATTTATTTTCATTAACTTCTGGGGTATTACAAGGTACCATGCTTGGTCTTGTGTTTCTCTTGTCTATATTAATGATCTTTCTGATATTCTTACCTCTATTCTAATATTATTTCTCTATTTTATTTGCTGATAAAATATAAAAAATGGTGGATCAATTTTTGATCATTTAGAACAGACTTAAGAGATGCAATCTCTTAAATCTGATCTGTGAAGAGCTTAAGACTTGTAATGGTTGGTAAATTATAACCCAAATAAAGCTCAATTGTTTAATGCTAATAATTATTGTAATATTGTTGATATTCATATATTGATGAATGACTTTCACTGAGTCTTCCAATTTATGTCTTGTTAGATATTTGTATGTTTAGGTTGTTAGAAATATTCTCATGTTTAGGCTATTAGATATGATCAAACAGCCCAAATATGACAACAGTTTTCCATACAAAAAACAATGAAAGATTTAGACATGGTACAAATGGACTCTATTTTAGACATGGTCCAAAAAAATTGTAAATATTTTTGAACCTGCTAAACTAGACCATCTGTCCTATCATCACAATGTTGCATTCCTTTCTCTTTTATACAAATAGTACAATGGTTGGCGCTCAAGCAAGCTAGCATTACTTGTTCCATAAACCAAAACTCAATGTTGTATGACTTATCATTAAGTTGTTTAGTATATTCATTATTAAGTTTCATAGTAAGTAATCTAAGTTGTATGCTTTTACTGTAACTGCTCTTTCATGTTAAAAATACTTTTATTTATCTAGTTTTTTTCTGTCGACATCAGTACTTTGAAGTTCTTCTCTCCTGTTTTTATGATTTCCTGATTCTTACGATTTACAGTTTTTAAATCTTCTATCAACTGTTTTTTACTTGTAAACTTACTTGTTTTTTGTTTCTCCCAACTTGATTAGTAGTTGCTTGCAGCTTTGATAGGAGTAAATTTACTAACAACACCAACAATAGGGCAGTCCATAATTACAGTTTAAAAATGGAATCCTCCACAAGGCTATCCTTATTCCATATGCTATTACTGATTTAATTCCAAAATCTGAATAAAATTAAGTAATATTTAGAGGTAGCAACTTTATAAGACTTTTTGAATTCAATATCAAAAATTCACAAAATTTTACTTATTGATTTCTGATTATGTAAATTGTTGTTCTATTATACTTTAATGTTTCTTAAGACTAAACAAACTTTAAAAACAAGCTTTAGCTTGATAATATAATCATGAAACAATATTAAACACTAGTTTCTTAAAAGTCTAGAAGTATTCTTAGTGAAAAATGAGCCGGTTTCGTTAGAATAGAAACCCTTTTCGATGGCTGGACACAAGTTGCAACAGATACTGTTTCTGAGTTTCATCCTTTTTCAAGGAAGAATTAAAAAATTGAATGATTGCAACCCCTCTTTCTGCTCAATCATTTACAACCTTTAGAACTTTTACAATAGCCAGCATTGATTGGAAGGTTGTGTCAGAAGCCCAGTTGGTCGGATGCTTTGACAAGAAGGTTCTTCCTTCTTCCTTTCCATTTATTGCTAGAAGATTATGTCTGTAATGGTGCACATTTATTGCTAGAAGAAGTATGTCTGTAATGGTGCACGATAGTCGAAATCTTTGAAGTCCAGATGTTTGCGTACATTGCATTTGGTGGCAGAAAAAAGTTGGCGACTATAGAAGCTTTTCAAAAAGTTGAAAACCATAGAAGCAACATCTGATGAAGGTTTTCCATCCCAAAGAGATAGTAATCGATAATCCATGTTGGCTGAGAATGATGGTTGTTGTGCAGTTGCTACTGCCTTCCGTGTGGCCATCGAAGCATGTTTAATGGTACTACTAGACAAAGCCACATCATCTAACTCCACACCGAACGCTTGTGCCACTGCCCCAACAACAAACATGGCACCTCAATCAGGAAGGTGACTCCGTCAAGTGCAGATGCCACTTCATTCATGATGATGGATTTCTTTGATTTTATTGAAGCTGGTGTAGAGTTGGTTGATGTTGATAAGATGACAAAATTATCATCAGAATCAGAAGAAGACGAGGAGGAGCTGTCTGAATCAAGTTGAACAAGAGATGTAGATGGGACTGCAGCCTGCCCAGAACTTTCTCCTATCTATCAGCTTCTAGTGAAATTCTGCTTTTTTTACTCTTTGTCGGCTAATGACTGGTCAATTCCAGCCATGCTGGCACTTGAGGGATCTTCTTGATGCATTTGCAAGAACTGCTTGTCCTCTTCATTGGTCATGAGTTGCATGACATCCTTGCAGGAGATATCAAACAGTTCTTCAAGATCAGCTTTAAACTGTTCCTCATTTGAACCGGCAACCATCTTTCTACGTTAGTCAATGTTTCTTCAACAAACAGTAATTACCATATAATTAGCAAAGTTTCCGCACTCCAGAGTCAATATGTTGTGTTGGAATCCTAGCCTTCACCCAAATTTTTTACAGTTGTATCCATAGCCAATTTTGAACTTCTAGCAATCGTTTGTCCATTTTCAATGTGGTGGAACATAAAATCTTGCCAATCAGCCAAACTTGTGGTGAACTTCTGGTCATAGGCTGCGTCATTGTTATCTATGATATAAAAAAATTATCACAGAAATTTTGTAAAGTACTGTAATTCATTAAAACAGCTTTAAATTATTTAACACAAATATTAATACTGTTTAAAAATTCATCAATGGTCTAATATTCGCCAATTGACAAAAAGCAACTGCGTACTAAATTCCTAAAAATTATTGGTCTTAGTTCATATACTGCTTACTTAAGACCAATAGATTAAGAAAATAATACATGAATAAAATTTTAATCAGTTTTTACGAGCAAGAGCCCTGTCACAAACTTAAAATAAAAATCGTTTTTTTGGTTGCTACCTCTAAATATGTTCCAAATTAACCAAAATTTGTCCTGAACATTCCTATTACCAAATGGAATGAAGGGAACCTTGTGGAGCAGCAGCATTCTAATAACATTTATTTTTTATCATTGTGGACCACCCTAACCAACAAAAGCACAGTTTATGTGTAAATTACTTTTATTTTAGTATAAGCTATAAAGATATAAGAAAAACACTAAAGGAAGAAAATGCAGTGCAAATATAAAGGTTTGATTATGACCAAAAAAGATCAAGTTTGCAACTAAAAGTTACCAATACCAAAAATCAGCTTTTTATAATTTTAATGAGTTTACAGCATAAATGTAAATTTAGAACAATAACGTAAATTGAATAAAAAAAATATCGAATATTATAAAATTATAAAAAATTTCATTGTGTTTAAAAAAAATTATCTTTTAAAGAATTATTTTTTATTTTAATATTTTTTATTTTATTTAAAATGTCCAAGTTATTGATATTCTTTTATTAATGAGTTGTTGCCATGAAACTATGAAACAAACTAAATAATTTTTTTTTATTTTTATGCAATGTTTGCATGGGAAATTGTTACAATTTATGTTTTTTTTGGCAGAAAAAATTTTTAAAAGTGTTAAGTTTTGTTAATGACTGGCTACTACATCATTCATTTCAATATTACAGTATTCCTTCATTACATTATTACATTACATCATTCCTTCATTATATTTATTTCATTATATTATATTATATAATTTCTTCATTCATCATAACATTACATCATTACTTCATTACATCATAACATTAGATCTAGGATAACAAGTAATAGAAAGTATATTTTTAAAACTATCAATTATTTGTGCTTTTTTTTTTAAAGCTGCCTGCTTGTTTAACAGATCTTCGTTATTCATCATGGAATCCTCCTCCTGGATATCGCAAACTGGCAGGTAATTATCTATGCTGTTTTCAATCCATGCATTAATGATATTTTTTTTATTTGTACACAGAGTGTATTATAGTACTAATAGTACCTCATCCACAGCTTTGGTCAATCTTCAAAACTTAAAATATAGGTTAATATACAATTGCTACAGTTGTTGTGAATCATTTCTTAAATTCTTACTGGTAACTTTGAATAGTTAAGTGATCTTTCTGGGGTTTTAAATTTTTTTATTGTGGCTTAAGAAGCTAGATTACTCTTTGGCAGACATTCAAAAACATATTTTTGCTCATTTGAAGCTTTAGCACATTTGAGTACTTAGCATTTTGATAATTTTGTTGCTTTAAAAAACATATTGCTAAACAGGTTTATTTACAAATCATTGATTTTTTTACCTGCTAAGTAATACATCTCAGGTACATTATACCAAGAGGCATTTTTAGTTAACACCTTTCAATGATTTATAATAGAGCTTAGATATAGTTAATTATTAGGATTAACTGCATTAATAATGTCCAGCAGTTTTAAAATTTTTACTTTTTTTATTTTTATTTTCCAATATTTTAAAAAGTTTTTTTCTGCAGCATCTTTATGCAGCCGGCATAAAAATCTATCATTTATTAAACTGATTACAGCATTTAATTTTTTTGTATATTAATATTATTTTTGTGTTTTATTTATTATAATTATTAGTTTTTGTAAACTCCATGTTTTCATATTTTTATATTAATTTAAAAATTTTTGAAATAAATTTAAATTTTTATTGAAGCAAGTTGTTTATTTATTTATTATAATTATATGTTAAATTTTTATTATTTTTTATTATTAATTGATTCTTTAAGTTAGCTTTAAGCAACAAATTCATATTGCGCCTATTTTTTTGAAAGCTCTGTGTGTGTGTACATATTTACAACATATTTTTGGTTTGTTTACTTAATATTTGTTAAATCAAATTTTTATGCTTTCTTTGTTTGTATGTGTTAAATTAAAAAAATAAAGTATTTTTTCAGGGGATTTACTTTATCTGGAGGTTACATTGCTTGAAGATGTTGATTGTATTCATTATATAACATCTTCTTCTACTGGTTTTTTTGTAAACAAGTAAGTACCTGAAATTAAAGCAATTTATATATATATATATATATATATATATATATATATATATATATATATATATATATATATATATATATATATATATTTATATATATTTATATATATTTATATAAAGTAGTAGAAAATCACTTAGCAAAAAAAAATTTTTTTTTGTGTGATTTAACTACTTTGCTAATTGATTTGAGTGTATACAGTTATTGCTGGAAAATTTTAATTCAAAAAGTAAAATCTGTTAAATATATGTAAAACACTTGCCAAATACAACATATAAGTTAGGAAATACAACACTTTAAATCATTTAAAAATATTCCATAAGTTATTTTTGGATAATAGAAAGAATACAATTTTTTTATTTGTCATCTCTGCTGATACTGATTTTTAAGATATATTTGTAATATTTGTCATTTGTTATTAAGAAACATAAAGAGATTATTTATTAAATACATATGATGTAGGGGATAGGTAGGGGGTCCTTAAAAATTTTAACCTTTTTTTTTTTATAAATTAATATTTTATTAATTTTAACAATTTTGTTTTCTAAATAGTCAAAACAATGATTAAGAAAATTGTAGTGTTTGTACGATTTTCAAGTTAAAAATAAAGTCAGTATTTTTACATTTTTAACATACATAAAAATGTTCAAAGCTGCCCCAGCATGGGTTAGCTTTGAATCTACCTAAGGCAGCTTTGAATCATTACCAGCAAATAAAAACAACTAAAGTTTAAAATTATTAAAGCTAGTAAAAGTATTTACTTATAACTTAATAGAACAAAATAAGAATTAAAATGTTTATAAGAACTTTTATATATTCCAAAATTGATATTTTGCAAATATACTGTGATGAAAATCAAAACAGTTCAAGTTAATTTAATTCAACATAGATTAAAGTATTTTTCTTGTTAGCTTGGTTTTTGAAATTTCTTATTTTGAAGTTCTCTTGGACTTTTCAAGTTTTGTCTTGCATAATAGATAAGTATTTTTTATTTCTTCTCTGGATTGTCAGTGAGAATCTTGAGATTTGCCACTTTTTCTGTCTTCATTTTTTTTTTTTTTTTTTTTTTTTGCAAGATAAGGTTTGAAATGGTTTGAAAGGTGAGAAATGGTTTATGGATTCAGGTGTTATAATGTGGTTTAATTGTAGGGTTTAATTGGAAGTAATTTTTTCTTTTCGACCATCAATCCTATCATCTTGTTTTTTAACAATTATGCCATCAGATTTGCTAGAAACTTGATGTAGTGGTATATGCTGGTGTCAATATGCCAACTAAATTATGTATTGTTATTGTTTTTCCTGATTAGATAAAAGCCAATCATTCTGACACGTACACAATTTTTGCTTAAAAGGACCATTAACTGCCACATCTAAAGGTTGCATGCAGAGGAGTGCAAGAGTGCAGAGAGGAGTGCAAAGAGTGCAGAGGGAAAAATGTTAAAACTACCATTCCATTTTCACAACAATAACTTACGACATCTAATAAACAATGGATTTCATTGCCCATTAAGAGTAAAACTAGATTATTTTTTGTACATTTAACAAATTTTTAAAAAGTTTTAAAAACAATTTCCCTGTCATTCCGCCACTTGTTGGACTGTTTGTATATCCTATACAACCAGGAGGCCCTTCTCTTATGGTATCATGAAACCTTGCTCTGCGAAGTATAAACACAGGTGGGATGAAATATCAGGTGGCATTTCCTATACCACATAGTAATTAACTGCCCACATTCATCAGACACACACTGTGTCACTTGTTTTATTTTTCGTTGTTCTATAGCTTTGTGCGATTGTAGTATGTTGTCATTATGTTGGTTTCATCAATATTATAAATTCTATCAGAAGTGAAACTGTTTTTTTTTTAATCTTTTCTTAGTTGTCAAAAATTGATTTAAATTGTGCTGATTAAAGTTTGTTGAACGAGACAAACTTGTATTTTCAGGTTTACGAAGTGAAAGTTCGTTGTGACGTTTCATGAAACTCTTTAACTGTTCTATACCAGCTTGTTTATTTTCTCTCAGTATAACTGGACATTTGCTAAGTTTATAGCATATTGAAATGGTATTTCTCTTGCTTATTTGTATGTCAAACCATACTTTATTTTAGAGCTTTTTATAAGGTAGTTTTTCAACATCTTCTACTCATCTTTATTAAATACTTGTCAAACAGTATACTTAGTTGTGAACCCTAGCTTGATAATAATATTGTTTATATTACTTTATTCGGTAATGTAGAGTATTACATTTTATATTATAAGTATGAGCAGCTTGGTTCTGTTTTATAAACCCATTTACAACTTGGAAAACAGCATTGTTAATATCTTCCTCTTTGATTTCTGTTTCTCTATTTTTCTTGTTTCAAACCATTTTTAACTTCAAATCAGAATGTAAGCCATAATAATAAAATTTTATAAGTCTGGAAAATTTAAAAACAAATCAAAAGTGCCCCATTTATAATGTTCAAAACTTCCCTGGCAGCATCATTAATTAAGGATGGTTTTTCCAATTAAGACAAGCTCAATTTTTGATATTTTTTGCAAAATTTTATAGGTTATGACTTATTCTATCTTATAAATAACATAAAACTTGTATCTTACTTAAAACGTAGTTAGGAAAAACCTATAACTTTACACCAAAATGTTTACAATTAGTTCTTAAAAACAAACCAATCAAATAGATCAGTAATTTGTATCAAACTTAAGAAAAGACAAGTGACAATTATGAGGGTAGATTTCACAAATATTTAGTTATACTAAGTTTAAAAATTCCTAAATGCTTCACAAATTCATTTTTTCAAAGCTGTTCCCTATTCCCCTATTTTTGATTAAGTTAAAAGCATAAAAGCTTAATTTTTTTTTTTTAATTTTTAATTTTTTTTTTATTTTTATTTTTTTTTTATTAAGTTTTAAGGAGAAAAATTTAATAATTAATAAAGAATATATTTATAAATTTACATTTTCCTTAAAACTATTAAAAAAAAAAAAAATTTAATGCTTTTATGCTTTTAAATTCATTAAAAATAGGGGAGAAGGGGGCAGCTTTGAAAAAATGAATTTGTAAAGCGTTTATGAATTTTAAAACTTATATTTGTAAATTTATATGTTACATTTATAATTTTGTATGTTACATTTATGATTATAATTTATGTTACATTTATAATTTTGGTTCATCAATTTCAAAACATTTTCAAAAAATTCAAAGTTGGTGAAAATTGCACCAGAAACTGGTTTTCAAATCAATCAGAAAGTATCAGTTTTTTTTCTCTCTATTTTATAGATCAACAAAATTGAAATTTGATCCAAAACCAAGTAATGATACCCCAAGATCACAGACATTAGCTGGCTTGCTAATGCTGGTAAGAATGTTATTCTAAAATTTTAGGTGTTTGTTAAACAGAATAGGGTTAATAACAATAATGATGATAATAATACAAGCCTTTTCAGGAGATGTGTGTGGTTGCATACCTTATATGATCCTGCATATAATTTTTTTTTTGACAACTTGGCCATGACAACTTACATGTTTTAAGTTATCGCATTTAAAAAAAAAGAAGCTGAATAAACAAATGTAAACTTAAACTAAAATTTAAAATAAACGTACTATAAACTGAAATGAGAAATAAAAACTAAAAAAAAAAAAAAAAAAAAAAAAAGCTGTTAGTAGTAATTAGGACCCTCATCTAATGCCGACATAACAGTCACACGTGCTACATCAACGTGGCGAAAAATTTTTAGCTTTAAATTATTAATTGAAATGCTTTTGAACTATGAGATGCTTTTAAGTTAAAAAATATATTATTTTTATGCTTTTATTTTCTCTGCTTTATTCTTTATTTATTTTATTGTTCTTTAAATTTGTTTCTCTTTTCTGCTTTTTATAATTGCATGTTTTTATTCAATGCTTTGAATTCCTGCTGCTAAATGGTTATATTTATGGCTGCAGTACATCTGGGAGGCTTCAGGTTTTCTCTATTTAAAGTTTCTGCTTCTAACAATACCTTTATTTGTTGTTCAAGGGAAAATCTGCCATTCTTTTTTGAGATTGTATTAAAGATTAAAGTTTAAAGACTCGAATAGAAATAGGCATCTGTTTCCTGTGACCTTTTCCCATTACATTCTGAAATTTTATAAAATTTTTACTTTAAAATAGCTTTAAAAAAGTACTCTAATTTGAATCTCTTTGACTTGGTGCTTACTGGAAAAAGTTTTCTAAACTGAGAATATCTTGGTGCTTACTGGAAAAAGTTTTCTAACCCAAAAAAATCTGCATCTGCCATAATCGCTAAAAAGGATAATTTTTTAAAGCATAAACATATCACATTTGAAAAATTTATAAATTCCATTTATAAGTTAAAGAAATCTCACTGGGCCATGTGAGTGTGAGTCTTACTATGGTTGAATTTAAACTATATAACTCAAACCAAACTTCTTTGATATAAAATTTAAGCTAATATCTGTTTTGCTTTTGCCATATTAGGTGTAATAACTTCTATTATAAATATTTACAGAATACATACTAAACAACATATAAAATATCGATGCAACATATCTCGAGGCTGTATTAAATACTGGAATGAGATTTGGGACTTGGAGCTTTTGTAGTGTAGTTCTATTATATTGTATTATTGACTAGCATGACGTAGAGTGCAGGCAGTGAGATCTGCTATGACACCTTGAGATGACATTTCTCAGAGCAAGTTGTGCAAGAAAATGTATATTTTACTTTTTCACTAGACAACTCAAACCCTAAGGCATCTTCAAAAAAAATATCATTTTACAAAAAAAAAATAATGCATCTACATCAAATGAAGCACCCAATGTATGAGTGCGTTTTGACACTTTTTCTTTCCTCAACCTTCTCCTGCATTTAGAAAAAATAAAAAATTAAAAAAAAATGATTGTCAATAAAATAGCTTTGTAATTATTTCTTTACTTAAAGTTTTTATTTTTTGTATCTGAAAAAATAATGACAGGGATTATACAAATCTGAATTATGTGTTTGATATTTAAAGGCCTTTATATTTTTTTAAATAAAGAAGGCAACTGTGACAAAAATAATTTTTTGTTTGTCTACATTTGTTACATTAGTTTAGTAAGATAATAACTTATTTTATAATTTTTATAGTTTTAATTATTTTAAATATTTTAATTTTTGAATACTTTTGATGGTTTGACTTAATTGTCCTAGTAAGTTACACATAAATTAAAATAGTGTCATGTGGCCAAATATGATTATGTGTTTAACATAAATTCAAATAGTGTCGTGTGACCAAACTAAAACTAAAAAACCAAGAAAAATAACCAATAACTAAAATGAGAACTTTTTAATGAGACATTTTATCAAATCATTTTATTAATTTTAGTTTAACTAAAATCATTTGGCTACTTTTTTAGTTTGTTTAAATTTGCTAACTAATTTCTTTGTCTGATTAAAATTAAATTACAAAAATTTAAATTATGTTCTTAAGTTAAATTTTTTAAATTGAAAAAAATTTGTTTTGACTGTTAAGTCAAAAGTAATTTTTTTATTCATTTTTATTTATGAAATTTGGTTAAAGTATTATATATCAAGTCATAATTGGGATAGCATATTATTCATAGATAAAAGATTACTAACAAAATACAAATTTTTTACAATAAGTTTTATGGAAAGTCTTTTAATTGACACCATCAAATTAATGGTTGCCTTCAGTGTACTAGTTTAAACAATTTTCGAAAAATAATTTCAAGAAAACAAAACTTTGTTTTCTTGAAATTATTCAAAATTATGCCCAGCAATATTACATTTTTTCAAATATTTGATTTAGATAAAGTTGTAAAATTAAAAAGAAATTTGAAAGGACTCAATTGAATGAACGTGCAAAGGTATAAGATAAAATTGACAGTAAAATGACAATCAAGTTCATTGACTTTTTTTATTCGATCATCAACATTTTTCAAAGAGTTAAAACAATTGAAAAATTAAATTTTCCACTTGATTTAAATGGTTTTCTGTTATTTTTTTATATACAAAAAATTGTTTCAGTGTAACTTTATTTAATGCAATACTGAAGTATTTTGATGTAATTTTATTTTTCAATTTTTTAAAGTAAGTAATATTCTAACTTGAACCAAGAAATTTATTGACAAGATATAGAGTAAAAGTAGGTCAAACCGGTCATACAATTTTTTTCGATCGCTGATCGAAAAATTTAAATTAAATCGGAATATTTAAAAAACACCAGAAGAAAGAGAATCATCTCCTCTATTCAAATGTGTCAAAATAAAATCCAACATTCAGTCATTTTATTTTTATAAAAGTTTAAAAGAGAGTCGTAAAAATATGCTTTTTTCTTTTATTTGCTATCGTAATAATTTGAGAACCATAATTCGTTTAAAAATAATTTTACCTCTATCTTGTAGAAAATTTAATTTTAATAATTTTTTTTGTTTTAGAGTTAGACAAAAAAGTAAGAAAAATTAATATTAAATTTTTTCTGGTAAAACTGATCATTCACATATTTACTTTAAATTCCTTTATTAAGTAGTATGTGAATTTTTAATTTAGGTACCTAGGTGAATTAAATTATTGAATTTTCTCATGCGTTATAGAACCCGGAACTATATATATAGTTCCGGGTTCTTCCTATATAAAGTTATTTTACAAAAATGTCTCAATGATATTTATTAATTATTGACTTTCAAGATGACAACAAGTAAAAAGTCATACAATGAAGAAGATATAGAGGCTGCGTTAAATGATAAGAAAAAATACTTCAATCAGAAAAGCTGCATTCAAATATGGCATTCCATTCTTAACTCTAATAGGTTGCAAGAACAGCAACAATGCTAGCTTTAAGGGATCAGGATCAACAACCATACTCGCAACAAACAGAGTCAATTATGGTTTTCAATTATGCATTTAAGTTCCTATGTGATTGGGGTTATGGTGTAACACGAAATGATGTCATGGACTTTGTATACGGTTACCTTCTTTGTACAAATCAATAAGGCCTGTTTAAAAACGTTATCGTTAAACAATATAAATTGTCTTTGATAAATTCTAGTTGTCACATTTAGAATTGCGATGAAATGGGTTTCTGTGGTGATCAAGGCAAAGCAACTGAAGTATGTCGAAAAGGTGCAAAGCGTGTTTTGAAACTCACTGGTAACAATGAAAAAATCCATTATACAGTAAGCAATTGCTGTAATGCTGATGAATACTTTACACCACCATTCGTGGTATACAAAGCAAAACGAAACTTTAGAGCTAAGTGGGGTTTAGGTGGTCCCACTGGCACCAAATATTCAATTTCTAAATCTGGTTGGATGGAGCATAATACATTTATTGAATGGTTGAAGGTAGTGTATATACTAGAATGTCAAGCAATTATTGGTACTCATATTTTATATCTTGATGGACATACGTCTCATGTCAGTTTAGCAGCTGTATTGCTATGTCGGGAAAACAATGTAATTTTGATTTGTCTACCAGCCCACTCATCTCACATTCTTCAGCCACTGCACAGGTGTCTATTGCCATGTTTAGCAAGTGTGGAAAGCAGTTCTTAAAAAAATTTTAAAGCAGTTCATGTAAAAAAATTGAGGCAACCTAATATTCCAAAAATTGCTGGCCAATGTATTACAGAACACAGTGTTGCAGATCATCTCAAAAAAAGAGAAGAAGTTAACTAGAAGCAACTCAAATGAAAAACAAGGTAAAATGCGTAAAACCATCTGCAAACTCATAATGCCATTGCCAAACCCTGCAGAAAAAGAAGTAACTCAAAATATAGAACCGATTACAACACTTTCAGCCAAAAGCAAAAAAGTTATTAAATGCAGAAAGTGTAAAAAAGAATTACATTTGGACACGATCTCATGCGAGAATCCAAATTGCAAAACTTGGCTCTGCAACAAAACAACTAAAAATCTTTGTAATGGGTTCAGATTTTTTGTTGTTGTTTAAAATGTAAACCTTAAATCTTTTATTATTTCAGTATGCTATATAAAAAATATATAGCATATTTCTGTATGCTATATAAAAAAAAATATAAATATATACATTTACATATATAAAATGTTAAAATTGTTAAGTGCATTTTATATTGATCGGTTTTAACAGAATTTGTTTCAAAAGCGATCTTTTTTTTATCTTCTAGTTTTCATATTTTCAAATACAATTAAAAAAAAAAAAAATTGATAATGTGCTTGTTGGTATTTTTTATCTTATTTAAAAAAAATAGTTTTAAAATTTTAAAAAATAATAAAGTTACTTGATTTTTATTGTTCGGTGATCGGTTTGACCCGCTTTTACTCTATGCCAACCAAAATACAAGTAATATACTTACTAATTAAATAATTTTGTAATTAATTACTTTTTATTTTTTTTATTTTTTTTTTAATTTTTTTTTTAGATAAAATTTCTTAAAATAGCCTTTAATATTTTCTTTAGTATTTTGGTTTTTTTTTTTTTTAAATGTTAAAAAATTCTTATAAACCAAATAACCTGTAAGTTAGCCAAATGATATACCAACTTTCTTTATGAATTTTTTAGCCATATGCACATTGTTGGAAATGTGTGTTCTCTAAGTCAATTTTTAAAGTCATATGCACATTGTTGGAAATGTGTGTTCTCTAAGTCAGTTTTGTTAAAATAATATTAATAACACTTATTCTAGTTAATCTCATATGTTATGATTTTTTAAATTTTTTTTGTAATAAATTTTATTAAGGTAGCAAGCACTAATAATAATGTCACTAATAATAATAGTTTAATTTAATGAGCAAAAACAAAATTAACACATATTTGCTTCAGACGCTATGACACAGACACTAGAAAATAATCGCTATGACATTTTAAGAAAATGCTTTACACCTCATCTTATCCTTGCAACTACAGCAATGTATTTAGTAACTGCTTTAATAAACAGCTTTAAAAAACTGCAATGTATGAAATTTTTGTTATAGGTTTTTCAGTTTCTTGTTGTATTCATTCTTGTTCAGATATTTCAGTTAACCAAAAATTTAATTGACTAATTTCAATTGAACTAAAACTAACTTCCATTACTAATCCTTCTCACATTGTAAAAGTTTAATAATGTATTTTTAAATTATTCTGTTAAGTTCAACCATGAAAAATTCTTATCATAAATATATATTTAGAACTACTTTTTTAGACACTTTCCTCTACTAAATTTTGTTGCTGTTATTACTATTAATTTTATTAGTGTTGAATGAAATAAAAACATGTTCGTTTAATGCACCAAATGTTTTTATAATGTTTTAACTTTAAATAAAATTGTATATAATTTAAATAAATTGGTATAATAAGCAGTTTTTGATTTTTGCAACAAGAATAAATTATATTTTTCAGTAATATAAAATAAATTTTTTATGCTAGATGAGTCCACTATTCAAAAAGAATTTCAGTATTGTTCAAAAGACAAGGTTTGGAATTATTTATATTTAAAGAAATATTTTTATCAATCTTTATATAATTTGCTGTCTTAAAGTTATTTGAGTATGTAAATAGTTTTTTAGAATTGTTGATAGGTGTTATATTAGCAAGGTTTTGAGATTTTTTTGTAGATGTTTGATTAATAATTTCTTGAGTTTTTACAAGATGTTTATTTGAGGATTGTTTTTTATATATTTTTTTCAATTTGATGTGTGGTAATTTTAAAACACATATAAATGGTTATTATATATTTTGTTAAATTTTTTTGTAGCTCAAAAAAGAATCCTCTTGAACTTGTTGCTTCTCCTCATCAAGGTAATACTAAACAATCATTAAGTGAAATTTGAAAAATTTTGTAAAAATTGAAATAAGTTTTAAACATAATATAATAATTTAATGAAGTCATTTTTTTTTTTTTATTAGTTTTTTCATGGGTATCACCACAGTTTGAACATCACCAAGATCCATTCAGAGCAGAAGATTGTAAGCAATATTCATATTAATTAAATTTTTATTATATGTGGAAGAGTGCTCGCCTCATAAGTGAGAAGTTCTGGGTTCCATACCAGGAGCTTTTCTTAATTAGGACATTTGCTAAGTCTTGAGCATCTTGGTTAATGGGGTTCCACTGTATATTGTATCATGTATATATATATATATATATATATATATATATATATATATATATATATATATATATATATATATATATATATATATATATATATATATATATATATATATATATATATATATATATATATATATATGTATATATATACACACACACATACACACTTGCATACACACATAATGTATTTATGTGTGTATGCATGTGTGTATGTGAAGAATCATGAGGACCATATCATTTTTTTAAAGAATGATAATTTATAGCTGTGACCAATCGTATTGGCTATGAGGAACAAATTCCTGGACAACTACGTGATTGGAATGAAGAATTGCAATCAGCCAAAGAGCTTCCCAAAAAGACACTTCACCAGAGAATTTTAAGAGATAGAGCTCTATATAAGGTATCCTTTTTTAAAAAAAGTCAATAACATAATCTTAGTAACATTAAATTATTAAAAGCAATAACATTTCAGATAACAAGTGATTTTGTGTCTGCTGCATCAAGGGGTGCAGTAGCAGTGGTTGATGGAAATGTTATGGCAATAAATCCTGGTGAAGAAGTTAAGTAAGTAATTTTCTAATGCCTCAACCTTTTGCAGAGGATGAAGAAATTTTATTTTGATGTGTTATATATTCAATGTTTAATATCTTTGTGTAAATTTTATATTTTTAAAATTTACTAAATAAATAACAAATATTTTCTCATCAAATTTTAAATTAATAGAAATAATAAAGTCAAATATTTATTTTTTATTTCCATTTCATCAGAATATTTTTCCATAGTTGTGTTTGCATTGTTTTGTTTTAGAATGCGCATGTATATATGGAACAATATATTCTTCAGTTTTGCATGTGACTCTCGCGATCATTATAAAAAATATGGAGGGGATCCTGCGGCATATGCTGCAGCTTCTCTTGATTTAAAAGGAATTGAAATGTACAATAAACTTGATCTGGATGGATTGTATACTCTTGGTACAGTAGTTATTGATTACCGTGGATACCGCATTATTGCTCAATCAATTATTCCTGGTATACTTCAACGAGAACAAGAAAATTCCGTTGTTTATGGAAGTGTTGATGGAGGAAAAACAATCTCTACTGAACCTAAATTTCTAGAAAAGGTTTTATTTATTGAATTAGGTTTTTTTTTTTTTTTTTTTTTTTAATAAATATTAATTTCAATATTAAAATTTTATTTTTAATTAAATATTACTAATCTTTTTCTTTTTTTTTTCTTTTTTTTTTCTTTAATTCAACACTATTTTTTTAAACTTTTTACTGCACTTTTTAATAGTATATTTTTGTTTATTTTAAAGCTAAAAATAGCTGGATTATCATTAAGAATTCGACCTCATAAGTACGTTTGTTTAATTTTTATTTTGAGTTCTTTGTGCTGATATAAATTATTGTTTCTGCTTTGAATTTATAATTTTTGTTATAGAGTAATAAATGAAAAAGGAGAAGATGTAGAGCTCTGCTCTTCTTTTGAGTGCAAGGTAATCTTAACTTTTTAAATAAAAGCTCCTAAAATGCTGAGTAATTGCTTAGCTTTTTTTTTATTCATGTAAAGCTGACCAGTTACTGAGTAAAAGGAGTTGCTTTTTTTTTGTTCACCTGGCTTCACCTTCACTTATTAAAATGTTCTTCTATGAAAGTACTAATGCATGCTGTGTTTGTTTAAAAAGCTCCCATATTTTGTTGATATAAATTTAAAATTTTGCACCATGAAAGTTCTTTATATTTATTGATATAAAAAAAAAAAGCAGAAAGACAAATTTTATCATGACATAATTGTAGCTTTTTGAGTGTGATGTTTTTGTAGCATAAAAGTGGAACTAAAAAAATTTAGTTTAAATTAAAAATAAGACAATCATCAGAAAGAAGGGTGTATATAAAAAATACACAAATGCAATAAATGCATGATTCTTGTGCCCTCAACTGCAGGAATCCCTTTTGGTGATTAAAATAAGTTTCATGGTTCTTACCATCCAAACATCTAAAGTTGATGTTTGCTTATCGACCTGAGAGAAGTTTGATATATTACAATTTGATAAAAGTATTCCAACTGCCCTGGTAAAGTAAATTTATCTACAGAACTCTATTTGTCATTGTCCAAATAAGCATCGGATTTATCAAAACCCAAGCGAAGCTTTGTATCTTTGTCATAACCACTTTATCAAAGCAGCACCACTCTCCCACTAATCAGAGGCAAAACAAACATTAGACCAATACACATGTTCTTATAGATTTTGTAGAAACTTTTTTGTGCAAAATGAAGCAACCCTACATCTGTTTGCTATTTATTATAAAGACAAAAAGATCAGCCTAAATGTGACTGATATGTTACAGTCATCGATCATATTTGTCATGACCAAACAACAGTTCATTGTTTTCACACAAAGTTATTTCATCATTAATACAATACCAAGTGATGGAGCAATGTCATAGTAAATTTAAAAAAATGTCCTATAAAGCTAATAAACTCTTTACATGATTTATGTTTTCTTTTCTATTTCCATTAAATATTTTTTATCTTTTCGTTGATAATATTAGTAATCATGATATAAAACAATACATAAAGATATCTTCTATATAAATTTAGATTTTTGTGTAGAAGCTATCAATTGTGTTACGTGTGTACATTTCTTTCTGATAATTATTTTTAATTTTCACTTTCTGAAAAGTTATTTTTAATTTTCACTTTCTGAAAAGTTATTTTTAATTTTCACTTTCTTGTAATAACTTTTGTATTATATTTTGGTTTTTCAAACTACAAAAATATTGCACAATATACTCAAAATATTGCACAATCAAAAGCACTCAAAATATTGCACAATATAGAAAATTTCCAAATTTTTTTGTGTTCAAAGTAGATAAAATTATTGGTACAAGTTTCATAATTTATTTTAACTGTTCTCGCCATTTTTTGTACTATGACAACATAGCAATGAGAAATGAAGTTTTTTTTAATGTAGTTCCACTTATTATAGATGTAATATTGAATAAAGATTGTATAGATATATTGAACTAATCATTTCATGATATTTTAGGGAATTATCGGAGCTGATGGCAGATATTATATTCTAGATTTGTTCCGAACATTTCCACCAGATATAAACTTTCTAGAAGGTTTTAAAGTTTTTTTTTTTAATATTAAATTATAATTATTATTATATTAACTTAAATAAGTTATTTTTTTTTAGTTGAAAATGTAAAAAGAAATTTAATAGATGGTGAAGCTTATCCAGATAAAACAAATAAAGATAAAAATCAGTTTTCTTATCCAAAAGGTCACACACATCAACTTGTTTCAATGAGACCACCCATTGTTGAAGCATTTATTGGGTAATCATTTTAATTTTATTTCATTTGGTAATTATTTTGATTTCATTGGTGATCTTAAATGCATCTTTATAAATTTTTTATTTTTAAAGTTTTTTTATAAATTTTTTTTATTTTAGTTCAAAATATGTTTCATTTGTAAAAGTAATTGCTGTTCACAAACTTTATGATGAAAAAGTGAAACATGAAAAGGAAGATTCAAAAAAAGAAAAATTGACAGAAAAAAATGAGGATTCAAAAAGTATAACTGTAAGTAATAATCATCTATTCATAAATATGTAACAAAAAAATTTTTTATTTTTATTTTATAATTAAGATATAATGTAATTTACTTTTCAAAATTTTTTATTTAATTAAAAAAAAAGCTTTTTTTAATTTTATTCAAATGTTATATATTTTTTATTTTTTCTCTACACTAAACCCTTTAAACCTCCAAAACAGAAGTTTTTTCAAAATGTTCATATTTATCATAAATCAATAAATATAATTGTTCTCATTGATTTTAATTTTAATTAAAATTTAATAAATCTGTTAGCTCTAATATTCAAATTGGCTGACTCAGGGAAGACTTACTATTCCCAATCCTAACATCATTTATTCATTTATTGAGTTCTTTTTTGAGTGCTGGACATCATTAACCTTTAAGCAGTTAATTAATTTTTATACAATTAAGCATAAATAATAGGCAATTAAGCATAAATCATCTACAATTATGCATAAATCATTTGCAATTAAGCATAAATCATCTACTGGTGTGTTATTGATAAATACATTGATTCTTTTTTGCATTAGTTCTTTCTAAAATCTTCATTGTCTTGTCAATCAATTTTAAATTCTTCACATTTTAGTATATCTCTCTGCTTGCTGAGGTTTTACCATCCAGTTTACAATATATTTGCACATTTGCATAGGAAAAATCTAACACCCTGAAGCTAGAGTAGATTCAACTACATTTACAAAGATTTTTTTAACTTCTATACAACTTTCTCTACAAGAAAGGACATCATTAGAAGCACCAGCTTAAATATTCCATACAAGAATTTAAATCTGGAGTTTGAAGAATTATTAAGAAATTTATAGAGGTAGTTTAAGTAGCAACCTTGATATTATATTTGTAGAAAAGAAAAAGAGATAATTTAATAACCTTACAACATTCGAAGAGAGTCTCAAGATTGGCAGATAAAACAAATGCGACAACAGTTTTCCATACAAGGGCAAATTAGAGATAAGTTAAGGTAGAGAATGGAATTGGAGGTAAGATAATGGTAAGCACAATGGTTTGCAATGGATTGAATATTGTTTCCATAAGAGGTCAGTGATGAAAGATAAATTAAGATCTAAAGTAGAAAACTCAGTAAGAGTGTCAATATAGAAACATCAACAATATTGCAATAATTATCAGTAGTAAGCAACTGAGTTTTGTTTGTTTTAAAATTAGAGGTTTGCAGAGAACCTGACTTCATTCAATTCAGTGACCCAGTATTCCAACAGTTATTTTTTTTTTTGGGTAACTGGAACTGGCTTTTTTTATTATTATTATTATTTTTTTTTTTGCAGTACCTCTTTATGCAAAAGAGCATTGGAAACAATAAACTCAATGCTTTTGCAAACAGCCTGTAACTATTTTTTTAGAAAATTATTAATGTATTTTATTATTTATGTAATTTAGTAAACTCTTGGTTTTTAAAGCGTGTAATCTAATCAAGTGGACACAAAAAAATCTGGTCCCTTTAAATTAAGATTTCTCTAAAACCATAAATGTTTTTTATTTCAAATTTTTTTGTATTAAATGTGTTCACATTAATTAGTTTTAACTTAATTTTAATGGGCTGTTTTGCAACAGATCAAATTTCATAGTGGGCTGATGCCACATTTTTGAAGTCCTTTTTATTTTTTGTTACTCCACCTGTTTTACGAAGAACTCCTTTAACTATTGCCAACAATTCTTCAATTTTGAACTCTTTAGGATGATTTGCAGCAATCAAGTCTTTAGGAACAATTTTCACATTATCTTTGCACCACTGTAGAATGTTTTTAGAATAATGAGAAACAATGAGATATGGTCAAAAGTGACATCAGTATTTTTGTTTTTTCATAAATGACAAGTCTTTTTGAAGGCATTCTTTGATGTAGAAATCTGAAGTCAAGGTCTTCTTAGTGACAAAACAAGAGGACTGCTTACCACAGCTAAAAATTGCTTGACACACAAGAAACTTGAATGTAAATTTTTCTCATTAAATATATTTAACTTGATCATCGACAGGTTTTTAATTAAAGCTTCTCTTAGGTGACATCAGTCCAAAGGCTATCATTAAGAAAATTATGAAAGAGTTCCAGTTTTAAGGTAGCAACAAAAAGTGTGAATATAATGTTAGTATTGCATAGAAGAAGTTTGAGATAAACTTTTTAGGTACATCAATCCATGACCATCAATCCATGGTCTGCACTACATGAAGATAAATATTAAGTACTGTTTTAAATTATAAAAGAAAATGAATGATTTAATGAAAATAAAATAAATCATAGATGTTGCATAGCAACCCAATCAATATAGTATGCAGATGTTTGCTAATTTATATTTGTAACAAAAGGGCTCTTTATGCATCTTTGGTAGTGCACTTCAAAAGTATTAACAGATATATATTCTATTCACATCATGACGAAGATAATGCTCTAAGGTGTTAACAGTGTAGGCTGTGTTAACAGTGTTGCCTTGTTGTGTAACCAACAAGGCTGCGGGACATGTAATTGCACTAGATTATATTTAGCACCAGTAGCAAGGTGATTATAATTATCCTGACCTTACCTGAATTTACCGCAACATATTATTCGATTTAATTAAAGTACTAGAAAAAATTACTCAACATTTATATTGTAAGACAAGATAATCTGTAGAGCATATTACTAAAAGTTTGAATTTTTTTATAAGTTCTTAAGTAATTTTTAAGTATTTTAAAATACATTTTAAAATACATTTAGAATCAAATGAAGTTGACAAAGTAAGTACTTGTAATGGAGCTGGTATAACAAAAGTTGTATTTTAAAATACATTTTAAAATACATTTCAAAATACATTTTTGTAATTAGCAGTATAAACAATTTGTTTAGAATACAAAAGTGAATGGCACTGTTGAAAATGAAACTTTAGAATCAAATGAAGTTGACAAAGTAAGTACTTGTAATGGAACTGATATAACAAAAGAAGAAAATGATCAAGTTGATAAATTAAAAGAAGAGGAAGATAAATCAGGTGATTGTTTTGGTTTACTTATTAAGTTTTTATTACTAATTAAACAGTTTTTATTACTAATTATTATTACTAATTAAACAGGTTTTTTTTTGTTTTTAATATAAGTAGGTCATTTTTTATTTAACATTTCAGTTAAGGTTTTCTCAGAGTTAAGCCTATTTTAAATAACAATATAGTATTAGATTAAAATCTTTAATATAAGAAAACATTTTTTTTTTGATTTCAAATAAAAATCATCTAATAAAAAAAATAATTTAATTTGAAGTTACGTATTAGAGTCAATCAAATTAAACTAAACGTTTTGAAAAATTGATTTAGAATAATTGGATGTTTACACTTTTATATATATATTTTTTTTGATTGAAAATTAAATTTTGTAAAAAAATTTTAAAATAAATTAAAATAATTATCTGATTGTAAAATTGTTAGAATTGAATTTTTTAAACCTTTTTTTTTTTTAATTTTTTATCTTAGATAAGGTGCTTTTGTTTCAGGTCTTATAATTTGTAATTTTGACTTGACATCATTAGAAAATCAAAAGCCTCTCTAATTTTTCTTAATTTTCTCGTGTTCTTTACCATCTATTATATAAAATTGGTTTGGGATTTTTAACTTTGGCATTACTAAATCTTTGTCAAATAATTTGCTAAATAATTTGTCAACACTAAATATCATTTTAGTCAATACTGAAAGAAATAGTGATGTAAGACACATTTGTTACAATCAGAGAATCAAAGGGATATGTTAAAATGTGAAATATAATTTTCAGATTGATATTTTAGCTAGGTTCATTTTTTTTTTTGGGTAGAAATGTAGCTAATAATGTTATTTTCTATCCTTGTACAAATAATGAATAAGGCTAGAACTTCCATTACTATGTAACTATTAACAATTATATTAATATATTTATTTTTCAAAACTTTATGTATAAATCATAGATTAGTTTTTTCTGGGAATTCCCGGAATTCCGGAAATTTTTTTCTCAAAACTCATTTAATTTTTTCAGAAATTTCTGTATGTTTTTTGTTATTAATTTGAAAAATATTATATAAAATTTTAAATACAACAACGTTTAAATTTAAAATTTTAAATACAACAATCTATGATAAATCTAATAAAGTAAAAAAGTTTTTTGGATTTAGTCAGATATAAATATTCATAAATGTATTTTCATAAATTATAAATCTTTTAGTCTTAGCTTAGAGAGTCTTAACGATGCCTATAGACTAATAATACCTCAGATAATAAATACAGGGAGTCAAATTGCAACCACTAGCAAGAAACATGTTTGCTATCTGGGAATTTTTACTTTTTGTGTTTGCCACAATTAATTTTTTTTTTTAATTTTTCTTTTTCTTTTTGATAAAGATAGTAAGTCTAAGTTATTGTTAATGGATCATTGTTTTATCTTTTTTCACATCTTTTTAGTCATAAATTATCAAAAGTCATAAAATTTTTTTCTTTTAATTTTTAATTTATTATTTAATTTTCAGTTTTTTTCACTTTAGTCAAATTAAACTAGAACTATTCGGTCATATGATTGTGTGGAATCTAAAAAAAGAGAGAAAGAAAATGACATAAATAGATAAATTGTAGAAATGTTTTTATCTAATTTTTTATTAATTTAATAAAACAACAGCTGGACCGCTTTGATATTGTTCTTACCTGAATAACATGCCGCTTTGGACTTTCTTCTTTTGTTTGCATTGGCAAATTAGAATTTAAATTGAGTTTAGCATACACCACTTTCTTTTTGACTGAGGGTTTTGACTTCTTTGCCTCAGTTAATTTTGCGGTAGTGGTGTAGTGGTAGTAAAATAGTTTTAATCAGAATGACTTTGTTGTAAAGAAAACAGAGCAGAGCTTTAATGGCCAGCAGTGCCATAAAAACGACATCAGCTTAGTCTCAGTTTTAACGATACGGAGCCAGCTCAGAATTTTTGAATATAGATGCAGTTAAAAAGTCCAAAAATCTTTATTTTTTATTTATAAGTTTTAGGGAGTTTTAACAGCTTTACACTTCAGTTATTAGGATATCGGGAAAAAATGAAACGAGATATCTTAAGATTAATTTGTTCTATATAGCTTGTTAAAAATTTTACTTAAATACATAGGAAGAAGTTTGATAGCAAATAAATTAAATTTATTTTTCAAAAAATCACTATAATTAAACTATTTAAAATTAATCAAATTTAATTAAAGTTTAGATTGATTTAAAATTAAAAATAAAAAAGTTGCCAAACGTTTCTTTCTGAAGCTCATGCACAACAGCGCGAACTTTAGTTAAAAACAGTATAGAATAGTGGAATAAAGAAAACATATTTTTATGACCATACACATTACTAAGTTCAAAAAAATAAAAGACCAATAGTAAAATAAAATTAAAAAATGCTCGTAACTAAGCCACAGCTTTGTTGGACAAAGGAAACCATCTATGATTGATCATGACAGGACTAGAAATGAACCTCTTGTGTTTAAAAGTTACCACATGCAAAGAAGACATCATTTTTGTTGTTGAATTATCAGAAGAAGAATAATGGCAATTAATTCCACTAGTTGAGGGTTAGCTCTAGGGAGAACTTGGCTTTGTGGATATGTTGGTATGTGTTTTCAATTGCCTATTTCGTTCAAATACAAAACCAAACCATTCTCTTCATTTGTTTGTTTTAAACATGTCATATCTGGGACAATCCAATACAAAGTCATCACAGCTTTTTAAAGTTTTGTATAAATATTTGAAATACTACATTTAGCAGAGGTATAGATGTTATGAAATGTTACACAAGTTGATTAAAGAACATATAACTGTAGAATTTGTTTAAAATTTAACTAAGTATATAAATTGTCCCAATCCTATATTGTGTTTACAAAATGTATTTATTACTTACAGTTTTATGTATGACCCAGTTGCCTGTGCTTCAATGAAACCTATTTGAAGAGTTTGTTTCTTACTTGGCTTAGTCTGAGTACTTTCATTCAAATATGATATTAGTTCTACTTGGGTCAAAGCTTCAACAAAGCCATCTTGATTAAAACCAACTTGATAGAAAAACCTAATAACTGTTTTTATAAGATGAAAACTTATGTCATTTAATAATATAACTAAAAAAAATATGATTATTTAACTTTAAAGATTATGAACTTAATAATTCTGAAAAAGAAAAAAAGGTTTATAAACAATTAAAATATATATGTTTTGTTTATAATCAATTAATATGTTTAATGTTGTTTATAATCAATTAAAAAATCAAAAAAAAATGAGTAGCCTCCTTGACTGTAGTGGCTGTAGTGACTGTAGTGGGAATCGAACTCGGAACCACTCGTTTATTAAGCGAGCGCTCTACCACTACACCACTACCGCATATATATATGTATATATATATATATATATATATATATATATATATATATATATATATATATATATATATATATATATATATATATATATATATATATATAAAGTCGAATTGTGAATTATTGAATATGTATATATATATATATATATATATATATATATATATATATATATATATATATATATATATATATATATGTTGCATTTATTTTTTAAGATTTAATAGCTATTGAAGCAGCTGCTAAAGCAATTGGATCTTTAAATCCAAGAGGTATTTTTAATTATTTTTTCAGTTATTTTATTATACTTAGTTAGAAATTTTAATGTTGAATGTTTTTAATTGTATTGTATGTAATTTAAATTAATTTATTAAAAGTTCATAAATTTTACTTTTCACTAAATAACAAATAACTTTATTTTTGTATAGTATTTTATGTTTATGTAACTGAGGTCGAGAAAGATTAAAGAATATTTAACAACTTTACTTTTGTATAATATTTTATGTTAAAACTAAATAATATAAAATATTATATATATTTACAATGGACTTTAAATAGAACATCTATTTTACTTATCAATAATGAATAAAGTTATTTATTTCTAATAAAACTTCAATAGTCTTTTTTTTTTCCCTCTAGGTTTTCCCTCTAAGGTTAAAATATTTCATCTTTTTTTTTTATTTAAAGCAAAAAAGTTTGGTAAAAACCAGAAATTCTTTAACATTTAGTGTGATCTTTGCTTCAGTTTATGTTTCGGTAATAACATGTTTGTTTTTTTAGAATTTGATATCCGATTTAATCCTGATGCTTATGTTCAAGAGGTGAAGTTAAGTGGATCTGAAGTAAGAAATCAAATTTTTAATTCCAATTTTTTTAGTATTTAATTTGAAGTCTCAATAAAATCTTATTTGTTTATTTGGTTGTTTGTAAAATGGTTTACAGAATGATTGTTTTAAAAATTGAGTTCTTAAAATTCTACTTTGCATAATGTGTTGAAAAAAATTCTTTTAACATATTACTTTTTTTTTAAAGAAGTTACAATGCATTTAATTTCATTTTAATATGTTACACATGAATATAAAAGTAAAAAAAAGTTTTTATTTTTAGGAAGAGATTGATAAACTTGACAAACTCTTGATTGAAGACATTGCATTGTTTATGTCTTCTACTGTTATTTCAAAAATGGTAGAGGATTTTACCACATTAAATTCCTCACCTATTGATGGTATTGCATTGACTGATATTTTGCATTCACGAGGTATAAATATTCGTTATCTTGGTAAAATAGCGCATATGGTTACTGAAAAAGAGGCTGCTGCACATATACTTGTAAGTATAAATTTAAATTTGTCCTATTTGTTTTCTTTTGATTAACTTTATTCTGTTTTCATTCTACTTTATTAATTCTATTTTCATTTTGTTGTTGTTTTTCATTGTTGTTGTTTATTCTATTTCATTAGTTTTTTCTTGTTACTTTTCTATTCCATTTGTTTAGTTTTATTTAGTGTAATAATATCCATTTATTTTGTTTATCCATATCCATTTTTTTTTTGTTATTGTTTTACTATTTTTTACTTTATTTTGTTGTTGATGTTGTTGTTTTATTTTATATGTTCTGTTCTATTAAAATTTAAACTTGATTATTTCTCTCATTTTATCATTAAATTTCTTATTTAGACTTGGTTATTATTATTTTTTTCATCATTAAATTTTTATAGAAAATTGTTGTAAAAGAGATGATTATCAGAAGTGCGAGAAAACATTTTAAAGAATTTATTCAAAGTGGTAACTTATTTAGTTTTACTGTTTAATATTTTATATTGAGGAAGACTTTTTTAAATTTTATGTTTTATGACTGTTAGAAATTTAATGGTCTTACTTATTTATGAAGCATGGTTTTATCATTCTTTTATAAAATATAGATTTAGAATATAAGATTTTAATTGAATACATCTTTTATAGATTTATATATTACACTGTTTACTGATGTCTTTTTTTTCATTCAGAGTTTGTACAGTACAGAATAAGTCTATAGTTTTAGTATAATTTAATAATTTTGTAACTAACTTAAAATAACTTAGTTTTGTATAATTAAATATATATTTAGTCATTTAATTGTTGTTGTAACAGTATAAATGTTTTGTGGAATTTAAGCTTGCTTCATATAGTGTTTCAGGGAAAGTTTTTGAGATTATCAAACCATTTCTTTCTAACCGGTTTATTAAAGTCATCCTTGAAGGCCAACACTCTTCTTTATTTCCCGTAACTTCTGGGGTTCCCCAAGGTTCCATTCTGGGCCCTGTTTTGTTTCTTATCTACATAAACGATCTTCCTGACAACCTTTCATCTAAAGTAGCTCTTTTTGCTGATGACTCAACTTTATACTCCTGTCTTGACAAAAAGTCTTCTCTTTTCGATCGCCTAGAACAAGCAGCTGATCTTGAATCCGATCTCACTTCAGTAATAGATTGGAGTTCACAGTGGCTTGCGAATTTCAACTCTAACAAAACTCAGTTGTTTACTGCAAACAACTACCGTAATATGGTCAACATTCCTATATTAATGAATGGCAATCCTCTTACTGAGACCTCCTCTTTACGTCTTCTTGGATTATCGCTTACTACTGACCTTTCATGGAAACCATATATACAATCGATCGCTAAATTAGCTTCTGCTAAGGTTGCTTCTCTTTATCGTGCTCGCCATTTCCTTACTTCTGATTCCATTCTCTACCTCTACAAATCTCTTATTCGTCCCTGTATGGAATACTGTTGTCGTATTTGGGCTGGTTCTTCAAACGATTCACTTTCTCTTCTTGACAAGGTCCAAAAACGCATTGTAAATGTTGTTGGGCCTGGACTATATGCTAAGCTTGAGCCTCTTTCCCATCGTCGTAAAGTTGCATCTCTTTCTCTTTTCTACAAATACTATCATGGTCACTGCTCAAAGGAGTTATCATCTCTAGTTCCATCAACAAAAATTCATTCTCGTTTTACTTGTCATTCAGCTAAGTCTCATTCGTTTACTGTATCTGTCCCTGCATGCTCTAAAAACTTTTATTCATCTAGTTTTTTTCCCCGCACTTCAATCCTTTGGAACTCTCTCCCATCTTCGTGTTTTCCTTACTCACACAACCTTCAACTTTTCAAGTCTTCTGTCAACCGTTTCCTTGCTCTATAACTCTGTTCTTTTTTTTCCTAGTAACTCCCAAATTAATAGTGGTTGCTTGCAGCCTTGTTGGGAGTGAATGCAAATTTAAAAAAAAAAAAGTTACTTTATATAATATTTTAAATGTAATAACTTAATAATTATTTTAATATCTTGCAATTTATTCGCCTTTTTTTTCTCATTTTTTTATTTTCCTTGCAATAAAAAATAATACAGATAGAAGAAAGTTTTTTCTTTTTATTTTGGATGATAAATTACAAGCAAGTTTCATAATGAGTTTTTGAAACTTTATAAGTTTATTATTAATTTGAGTTCATGTCATAAAAGAGTAAAATAATATAGATAAAATATTTTTAATATATAGTATTAATATGTAATAGTAAAATAATATAGGTAAAATATTTTTTTATACAAAAATAATGCTAAAAATTATTAACATTTACAGATAAAATAATTTTTTTGAATAAATGTTCAATATATAATTGTACTTCCAGTTTAAACATTTTTAATCGTGTGTTAAAGGTAGTTAGCTTGCACTTTTGAAATGTGGTTGGCTCTCACTAGTGCATTTGCTAAATAAAACCAGTACTTTAAAACCTCTAGTGTTTTTTAAAAATTCAAGTTACTGATAAACATGGTAAAAGTGTAAAACAAGCTTTTAAAACAAATTAGGGAAAAAAAAGAAAAAAAACGCAACAAGTATCAAGGTTTCTTGACAACTGTTGCAAGATTTTCCTGTTTAACTTTTCTGTTTACTTTCAAAAGCCCTTTTCTTTTCAATTTTTCCGAATTTCTATTTCAAAGTGTTTCTTAAAAAATTTAATTTGATTAAATAACTTAGTATATTAGGTCATGTTGTTCCTAGTTCTACACATCAAAAGTTACTTGTCTATTATGCCATGAAGTTCCAGTGCTGGAATCATAAGTTACTTGTTTATTATGCCATATAGTTTCAGGCGCTACATATCTCATGTTACTTTAAAACAATACTTCTAATGTAAGCCAACGACTGGTTATTTATTTTATATAGTTTTTTTTCAAGTTCTTTTTTATTAAGTTTTACTTTTTTATATAATTTACAATCATATTACTTTTTTTTCATTATTTTGTCAGATTTTTTTATTACTACACAGTTTCAATGAGAGTTTTTATTTTAAATGAAGAACAACTGTCAACTAACTTATTTAAATAATAAGCTTTTAATAAAAGTTTTATTGTTTAAAAACTAGTTTTTTTTAATTTAAATTTTGTGATCATTCTAAAAAAAGTAATAAAAATGAAGTAAATAAAAAAAAGTGTAATAAATTAAAAAAACGTAGTAAATATAATAATGTTAATGTATTAAATAAAGTATAAAAATGTTAAAAACAACAAACTTTAAAACTAACTTATAAATTTTTATAACAAAATTTATTTTAAAACTTAAAACTAAAAAAGTTTCAAGGTAATAAAAATTTCATTCTGCGTACATAAAATTTTTTATGTAAATAATTTTCAATGCATACTACACAAATACTGTTCCTTCTAACTGCATTTTGTGTTTTTGTCATTGTGATGTTTTATTTCTTATTTTTTTAATTCATTTAGTATATTTATTATATTATTTTAGAGCATGCTGTCAGAGTCCTATTTATTTTTTAGACTTGTGTATCTTTAAGAACATGTATTACTGTTCTGATAAATTTAAATCAATTAACATAACTATTTGTACTAAAAAAATAACTGAAAATAACAAAAAAAAAAAAGTTATAAAACATTTGAAAGTGTATTATCATTCTTTTGTAAAATAAAACGTTTTTCTGTTAATAAAATTTTCATATTGTAAACTTTTATTTTTTTAGCCAATCAAAAGTGCTTATCAGCAGCAGTCAGTCACTTTTTAAATTGTTTTTTGGTAAATGATTTTTTATTTTTTTGTTTTTTAAGTAAAAAACCATAAATTTTATACTAATTTTTTTTTTTTAAACCTAATAATAATTTTACCATTTTTAAGATTTTAAAATTAACATTACTTTATGAATAAACGCTTTTTACCACTTTTAAGAAAAGTTTGTTCAACTATTTTGTCATATTGGCCTTGAAGCTAAAATAAGTATTTATAAAAGAATAAATAGCATACTTGCATTTAGGGATGGCATAAATCCTAGACATTTTCAATCTCGGGATATCGGAATTAAAAAAAGTTGTCTCCGGGAAATCCCAGGAGCCGGGATTGAGTAGAAAAACATACAATTGTAGAATGAAAGAGAAGCAATTGTAAAAATTATAAGAACTAAGGTTTTAAGTGCTTATCAAATTCTTATAAGTGATTAACTTAACTATGATATAAATAAAGTACTTCATTAATGAATCTAGAAATGGCTTTTTAACACAATAGTTTTTTTAATTTTAACTTAACTTATTGGTCTACCATAAGCAACAAGCTGCACCATTGGGTTTTGCAATCCATGATTAAATGGATGATCTTTCTAAACTCAATTTTTACGTACTTTAGTAATTAATTTTCATTTTTGTTTGGGGACCTTTTAAACACTTTTCACAATTTTCCTGACTTTTTTTTTATAATCAAAAAATTAGTGCCTAATTTTAACTTCAGATGTTTCATTGATTAACAGTGAATCATTTAAATCTCTAATATAATGACCTCTTCAAAAACAATTTCTACTTAAAATAACGACTTTAAGTAAACTTTTTTAGTTTAAGAAACTTTTGATAACTTTATTAATTAAACTTTTGTATATTACACAAACATTGGTAGTTAAATTAAGTGGGCATAAAAATGAAATTAAAATCAAGCAAACATTGGAATTAGAATGAATTAGAAAATTCAAAATAAAGGTATTTCTTCTATCAAAAATGTTTGATCTTCCAATTAGCAAGTGCTAAAACTCTTTATTATAAAACTATTTATTTTTAATAATATATTAGATAATATATAGAGGATAAACAGCTACAAAACCAAACAGGTTATGCTTGGTTTGAAATTCAGTCTTCAAAATTGGTTGAAATTCTATAATTTCAAACCCTATATTTACATTTTAAATAAATTTATTAATTACAAGTTAAGCTTAAACTTTTTGTGCTTTTACTTTTTTTATGACAATCCCAAAATCCTGGGAAATTTCTGCAACTAATCCCGGGATTTTGGGATGAACTGTTTGTACAGAATCCTGGGATTTCGGGATCCCGGGATTGCCATCCCTACTTGCATTGTACACTATGCACATTTTTTATCATTCATGCATCAATATGCACATTATTTTATCATTCATTATTCATTCATTATTGGATTCATTCTTACATTGTACACTGTGCATGTTGTTTTGAAATATTCATCAGTTTAAAGAATTATGTTTATATATATATATATATATATATATATATATATATATATATATATATATATATATATATATATATATATATATATATATATATATATATATATATATATATATATATATATATATATATATATATATATAACGATTTATGAATACATAATACATTGTGTTATCTGATTGCAATTGTGTGCATTTATCACCTTTGTTTAAACATACATCATCGAACCTAGTTTCTCATCTCCATTCTCATTTTCTTTTCCATCATCATCAAAACTCAATAATTTTTACCTAACCTCAACTTGTTTCTCAAAGCTGCAATTTTGTCCATAAATATTTTAAGTTTATTTATATTTTTAATTTTTCCCATAGTGTTTTAAGAAAACACCAGAAAAAAATTAGTATTCTTCTTAACTATAATAATCCCCTATGTTTTAAGGTGGCATATATTATTTTGAAAAACTTTTTAAAATTTTTTCTTACTCAAATCATAATTTACCTATACCTTTACTTACCTATACCATTACACCCTTGCTACACCTATACATACCTCGCTACACCTGCACATACATCTTTACTTGCAACTATGCCTCATTTATGTTAATACCTGCAAAGAAAAATAGAAAAGTTTGTTAAATGTCAATTTACAGTATTATGTTATTTTTTTAAATTTCTGATTTTATATAGCTTTATTGATTATATAAATTATATAAAGTAAATAAATTTTAACGGAGATAAAATTGTTTTTAGAGTTCGTTTCCAAATCCACAACCACAAGTTCCAGCTGAAGAAGTATTTTATTCATTTAAATTTTTCTTGTTACAATTTATAAAAAATTTTGTTATTAATAACCTAATTTTTTTAGAATCAAAAAAAAAAGAAGAATAAAAAGCGACAACAAAAGAGTCATTTGTCAAATAAAAAAAGTAAAAACATTTGTTTACAGCTAGTTGTTATTTTTATTCTAATTTTGTCTTTTATGGTCATGATTATATATATTTACTGTTTTTATTTATTTATAATTTTTCTCTTTGTATTTTTAAGTGATTTGGATGTCATTATCTCCAGAAATATTATGGACCTTTATTACAAACTATATGGAGAAACACTTTGGATATAAACTAGAATGGTAAGCTGAGTATGTTACAAAATTAAAATGGTATATTCATTCAAATACATACTACTAAGTTTAACTAAAAACATCACTAATCTCCTAACTAAGATAGCATGGGCACATGTAAAATGGGCACATTCTATCTGCACATGTAAAAGATCCATTACAACAACAAAAGTTCTTTTAACAATAACTTTATTTTTTACTATATAGGTTTGCATATATATGTGTATATATATAAACAGGTACATACATATATATCAATAAATACAGATTTAGCAGCGCATGAAACGTCACGTATTGACTGAAATAGCCATCTGCAGGGTCTACAGTACATGCATCAACTGAGTGATTAACAAAATCTTTCTAATGTTTTTTCACATTAAAAGTTCTAAAAGAATACCTTATTAACAATCCTACAATTCAAGTTTTGAAAATGAGGCTGGAAGAATAAGTTGTTTTATTTCAACAATGAACTCAAAAAAAATGTTATTCAAAAATAAACTTAAATTAAAAAGCAAAAAGTTACTGGCTTAAAGTTAAAGACAAATTCACAAATTTTAAACATCTACAATTTATGACAACTCAGAAAACAAATTCATATAAAGACATGGTAGACAATAGACTATCATATCATTAAATTAGTTTGTTTTTAATAAAGCTATTAAACCTTTTAAACAGGCATTTAAGAAAATTGGGTTATAATTGTAAACTTATGAAAATACAAAAAATCAAAATTGCAGGTACAAATCTAAATAGTCTAACCCTCCATTCAATTGTTGAAACATGAAAACAAAAATAAAAAGTGGTTTACTATTTTTCTAGCATTAGATGTCCTTTGACATCCCAGTTATTACATGTTACAGCTTACATATATTACAGCTATTAGATAAATAGTTTAAAAAAATCAAATTTAGTTATAGATGTATGCCATATGTCCAAATGTCATGTAAAGTCCATAATTATTTAAAAGAACCTGTTCGGTAAAAAAGACAATATTACCTAAGTGTTGACAATCAAACTAACTTATTATTTCCTTTTTTAATACTGAATTCTTAATGATTGTTTTATGTTGTTGTTGTTGTTGTGTTATTGTGTTGTTCTTTTACCTCAGATCACTGTTTTACTGTTGTTTTTGGTTTTTTATTAAACAGATTTTAGTTTATGTCTTTGATTAAACTTTGATTAAGAAAAGGCATCAAACTTTGAGTCTTGATAAAATGTTGTTTTTTACCCAAAAAATATTTAAAAATAATTTGTAAAATAGCACTTTGTATTTAAACCTGTAAGCATTAAAACCAATATTTTAAAAGGCGCTGCAATTTTTAGTATGGCAATCAACTTGTACCAGCTTTGTTTATCAATTTGTATTTGTTATTCTAGGGCTGAAAGAAGGTTGATAAAAGAATATAAATTTTAAAAATTTAAATTAATTTTAATTGGTGACATATGTAAAAACCATATTTTGTAATTAGTATTTAAATATTGTTTTTTATGTTCAATACTTTCTTAATGATCAATTTAAAAAGAGTTTCTAAAACATTTATGTTTTTTATCTCAGCATAATTTGCTTATAAAATTTTAATTTATAAAAAAGGGTGTAAAAGTTTGTTTTACTCTCTTATTGTAGAATGTTGATATTTTAGTGCAAGTATCGATGATTTTATTTCAAAGTTCCATTTGCAAAAAGTCAGTTTTTTGAGAGAATTCTGCAAAAAAACTGGAATTCAAGTTCTGCTAAGAGAATATGATTTTAGTTCAAAGAAAAATCCAACATTTCACACAGATGACATCATTAACATGTTTCCTGTTGTTAAATATACCACTCCCAAAGCTACAGATGCATGTGCTATATTTGAAACAGCACAAAATAGATTGCAAGCAGGTTTTTATTTTTATGATTGCCAATGTTTTTTGTTATTTGTCAATCTGTTTTGTAGATAAGTATTTAACAATGCATTTTATTGTGTTGTGTTAATGTGGAATGAATGTAAGCTGTTTAAAATGGTCGTTAAAGACTCAAAATGATAATTGTATTTTACTATTGTTTTAAAAAAAAAACCAAATTAACCAAAAAGAACCAAACCTAAATATGTAGTAAATTTGTTTTTACATATTTAGGCAGATTTTATATGTTTAGATGAATCTTTTTTTAGCTTATTTTTTTAATTATTTTATATTTAATAGTGAATTTAACAGTCAAATTTGTTCTCAAGTCTTTTGATGACATCTGATTTTTTTTATGCTGGTTAAATAAAACTAATGTGGTAATTACCTTAAACTGTAGGATTTTTTGGTGAAGCGCATGAGTTGATGGTTGAAGCGTTGAACATGTTTAATCAAGTGTATGGTCCTTTACATGAAGATATTGTTGTTTGCTATCGTGCTATAGCTAGAATTCATTACCTTGCAGATGATGCTCCACAAGCAGTTTCATTTCAAAAGAAAGCAGTAATAGTTGCTGAAAGAATTTTTGGAATTGATCATCCAGAAACATTAGTTGCATATGTAAATTAATTTTGTATATTTTTTAATGATTTGTTTTTTTATTTTTATATCTTTTTAATGTATGTAAATATGTTTCTACATAAAATCTAGCATTTTTTTAAAGGTCCATTTAGCACTTTATTGTTATCATGCCGGACTAGCCAATGCATCATTAAAGCTAATGTATCGTTCAAGATATTTAACTTTGCTTGCATTTGGAGATGATCATCCAGATATGGCTGCTTTTGATGTATGATAAATTAGTTTAAAAATTATTCAGTAGAATTTTTCAAAAATTTTAAATGTGGAGTGGATTTTATATGTTTAGCAAATGAATTGAGTATTAAATTTAAATTTTATAGTATAACTGTTTATAAATTAGACAAACATTGGTTTAATGCTTCACAACCAAAGAGAGTTTTCTGTTGGATGCAAGTTTCTGGAGCGCTCTTGTTATCTGCAGATGAAGTATCATGGACCTAAAAGTATTCATACTGCTACTAGTCACCACCTTGTTGCAAGAGCATTAACTGCTCTCGGAGAATACAAATCAGCATTGAATAGTGAAAAGATGACGTTTTCAATCTATCAAAGCCATGTAATAATCTAATTTATAATAATATGAATATGAAATGATTAGATAACTTATAAAATAAGATTTATTTTTTTAATAACATATTAAAAATTTTTTATATTTATATTATGAATTAGATAATTTCCAATGGTTTTTGTAATTTTTCAAAATTAGTTTGGTGATGGAGATCCAAGAACCAAAGAAAGTTCTGAAGCTTTAAAAACAATCCTTAACCAGGCAGTAATGCTACAAAAAACTGTATGTGTATATTTTTAATGATTTGTGTTTTTTTTTTCTCTTTAAGCTTGTGTTATTTTAACTTTACTTATTTCTTATTTTAAAAATGCTTAAATACTTTCACTGATAAACTTTCAAAATAATAATGAACTTGAAAAAAGAAACTCCTATTTTGTCTCATTAAATTAGTTTTATTGGAAATTACTAAAGCCTCATATTATTATTATTTTCTAAACCATAGCTGATATGAAATAAGTATAGCTGATATAAAATAAGTAACCATAGCTGATATAAAAAACACATTAGGTGTTTATTGAATATATATTGAAATTAGATAACAAACATAAATTGACTTAAATTGTATTGAAAATTAATGTAAATGTAAAATTAACAAGCCGCTACGAGCCCTAAGCTGTTACATAAGAGAGATCAGATTCAAGATTGACTGCCTGTTCTAAGCAATCATTAAATGAAAACCTTTAAAGTATAAAGTTCAGTCTTGATCAAATATAGCCACTTTAGATGTAAGTTTGTCAGAAAGATCATTAATGTAGATAAGAAACAACACAAGACCAACAATAGGACCTTGGGCTACCTCAGAAATTACTGGATATGAAGAAGAGTGTTAGCCTTCAAGGATGACTTTTTATAAAGCAGTTAAAAAGAAATGATTTAAAGATCTCAAAAACTTTTCTCATGTGAAACATGCTTAAAGAGAAGATTAGCATGTCAAATTTCATCTAAAACTTTTGATATGTCAAGAGCAATAGCCCTTGCCTTGTCATCTTCATTTGTCATAATGCCTATAGAAATTTTTGATTTGAGCATGTAGAAAGTCAGCCGTATAATGAGAAGATCAGAATTCATATTGATTGTCAGAGAGTTATTAGATTCAAAATGAGATGTTAAAAATTTATTGATTTATATAATTTACCTCACTAATAATAAAGTGAAGACTGATCAGAGGATATTATAACTTTTACCTTCATTGTATGCCATTTCTTCCAATGAATTAAAAACTGATATGTAATTATCAAAAAAAAAATATCCAGACCTTTAAATTTTTAAACCATTTAGTTCGACATGTATCAATTAATTGCTTGACCAGGAAAAATGAATTTATTGAGACAGCTGGCACGCTTAGGTGATAAATTTAAAAATATATATTTTTGATTTGATTGAGAACATTTCTAACACTCTGAACATTGCACGATTTACTAACAACTAAATTAAGTACATGGCATGCACAGTGAACAAAAACAGCTTTTGAATTGATAAATTTAATTCTTGATGAAATACTTTTTAATTTACTCGACATTGCCCCAGCACAGATTTTTTACACATTTTCCAGCAGGCAGTAAAAAATAATTTTCAGTCAACCACTTATTAGATAGTTTAAAGAATTAAAGAAAGCTCTGATAAACACATTTGTAAGACTATAATAGAAATGTTGTCTATATCACAAAATGTTGGAGAGTTTAATTGAGAAATGACTTTAGCAACAGAAGTCAGAGTGATAAGGATGTTTAACAATGAGTTAACTTGTTTAGCTATAGTGGCAGGAAGAGTATAACCATTAAATTCAAGAGTCCAATTAGAGGCAAAGTTCTTTACAAATACAATATAAATACATAATAATAAATTAATATAAATACATAAATTTTTCTTATCCTTAGAAGAGTTAATAAGATCAGACCAATGATTTAGAGACGGAATGTTCAGCTTACTTTTGTTAATAATACTGTTAATGAATTACTAAAATTTTTTTGAGCATAACTTCTGAGATAAGATACAAGATTTAGTAAACCTAGAATAATAGAGTGTAACACCAGGCACCACTTTTTTACATTGGTTTCTTGCAATAATAAAAACGTATTAGCTAAGGTTGAAAACAAGACAAATCAAAGAGTGATGGTAAGTGATTGAGGTTGTCAATAAATTGAGCTATTTTAACTAATTTAACTTTTCAAGGAAGAGATTGAGAAAAACAAAGTAGAAGAAAATTGAGAAATACAGAAAAGATTTAGTGCCAGCAGGGTCCGTGCTATTTAGTGCGATTAAAGTTATCAGTAACAACAATATTGTTAGAGGGGTAAAGCAAAAGGGCTTTGCAACCCTTTAGATTTAAGAAAACCGAGGTCAGCAATTTATTGCCGACCTCAAACTGTTAGAGGTCACCATCAACTTGGCAAAAAAAAATTTGACACAAAGGGGTTGCCATAAAGCATAGAAACAAGGTCAGCGATTTTTTGCCGACCTTATACACTTTAAGGTTGGCATTGCCAAATGCCGACCCTAATTCCGAAGGTTGGGCTTCGTCAATTTTATCAGAAATTATATATAAAAACATGAAGGTTTTTTTGAAGAAAAAGAATGATAAAGAATAAAGAAAAAGGTTATAGTCAAGTGGTGCTAAGCAGAAGCACATAAAGAATGGTCAGAGAATTTAACCTGGTTTTTTGACAGCTGAATTGATGTGTAAATATATACCCAGGTCAAGTATGTAACTATTGGAGTTTTTGCTAATCATAGAGCTATCAATACTAAGATCCAGAGATAAAAGAGATAAATTCAAATTAGTCTCACAAAGAGCTAGTGTAAGTCTAGTGAATTATATAAGAGGTATGTTTAACTGGTGAGTTTTTCTGAAGACCACAAATATTTGTAAAAGTTTTATTAAAACAATTATGTGATAGTAATGATTTTTTGTGTTCATTATTTTTGGGTACTTTTGTCAAGTTTTAAGTTTAAGAGAACTTGACTCAATTATAGAGCCTCAAGTTGGCACCCCAACATGGGTATGCAGTTGCCTCAGTTCTACTCAATAATTAAGGATCGACAGGTTGTACTGGATTGCATGTTACCAGCAGTAACATGTAGCAGGGTGATAGTGATGATCCTAAACCTGACTGGAGTAGTTGGAAAAAGTTCTTGAGCAAGAGATTTTGGACATGCATTTAGAAAAACATATCTATAGGAATACTGGAAATTAAGGTTAATGTATGTTATATAGTTGTAGTCAATTGTTAGTAACTGAGCTAACACTACGCTAGAGGTTCAACCAGAACTAACATATATATAGTAACTTACAGTAACACCATCCCCGAAGTTCACACAACTCAAACATATATATATATATATATATATATATATATATATATATATATATATATATATATATACTGCTTTACTGCTTGTTATTTAAAAATAATGCAAGTCAAATAAGGTCTTGTTTAGTCAACTTTTTTTTATTTATTTTTACAATATCTTTAAAAGCACTTTATGTTATTTGTTATTACAGCTTAAGCAAAAACACAACTGATGCTCATATATTATATTCTTAATTTTGTATTTAGTTAAAAGATATAACAGAGAAAGGTTTGATCAGTTCTACCCGACTTCCTCATCTTGATGATGAAAAGGAAGATAAAATTGTTTTGGCGATGGTAAATAAAATAAAAGATTTAAGTGCAACTGATCAACCTGTTAAGATTCTAAACTCAAGTAAAACGTGAAAGTTTTTTATTGATTTGAGGTGATTATGATTTTAAACAGTTTTTATTTTTTTGTATATGTTAAATGTTAAATATCAAACATTTTATTATACTTGATATCGATAAGTTATTGTTTTTACTCTTTATGATGTTTATGATGATTATGATGTTTATAAACCAAAACTTTTTAGTACTATGATTTTTTTAATTTTTCATTAATGCGTGTTTTGCTTGTACAAAAAAACACAATTACTAAGTATTAAAGTGTCTATGTGTATGCACACTCACTGGCATACACACGACAAAAATGAGTTGAACATCCAATATTTACATAAAATGTTTTTGTACTGTTCCAATATTTACGAAAATGTTTTTGTACTGTATAGTGTATGCATTTATAACAAGGAGGTATTTTAAATTCAAAAAAAATATATAAAATGTTTTAGTACTGTGTGCCACTCTTTTTGTGGCATTGAGGCAATAAGAGCAATCACTATTTATGGGTCTTTTATATAAAACTACATCTTTATTATGGCATTTCTCAAATATGCTAGTGAGGTTGGTTTCTTTTTGGAAACTTCTTCTTTCAATTTCACCCAACAATTTTCTATAGAATTTTAGTTGAGTGATTTACCTGGCTAAGAGACAAGAAAATTAATTACACTTAGTGTCATGTTTTGACAATTTTTGCCTATTGGCAAGTTGTTTCATTGATAATTTCATAGTGCATAAAAATATCAAGTTTCCTAATTCAAAACCATTTAGACATTTTTGGCTCACCTTGTTGTAAATAGTGTTGTAAAAAAGTCTCACCTTGTTGTTAAAGGTGTATAGCATGACTGTTCACAGTGATTTCAACCTAAATCGTAATTGCTCTACTTTGCTTAATAGATGGTGAAATGTATCAGAGGTTGAAACATGAGTTCAAGGCCAGCAAACATTAACTGTATGAACAACTAACATGAGGCTAGAAAACATTAACTAACATGAGGCCGGCAAACGTTAACTAATGGCAGAACTGAAATGTTTGAAATGCTGCAAACTGCTTAATTTGCTCTTCGTTTGAGATGTTGCCAAATTTAACAGTTAAAATTTTTGTTATCTTTACAAAATTTGTAGGGAAAACAAACATTTTTTTAAAGAAAACATTGGATTTAATGCAGCACAGATCAAAGATTTTACTGTGCTGTAGCCATCATTTATATTAGGCAGGCAGTATCATTTGTATTAGGAGGCAGTTGAGAAAGTATATGAAATCTTTATGTACTCTGCAGCCAAACAGCAAATCATTTTGTCAAATTTAAGTTGCAATTCTCCGTTTTCCACAGGATTTTTCTGAATTGATGCCTTCTGTTAACTTAAATGATCTTCTGAACATTTTTCTTGGGCATCTTCAAACGTATATCAATCATTTGCTCAAACTTTCCATCTTGTTGTACTTATGACTGTTTAGCAAGTAAATGTAACTCTAAGATATTATGACTGTTTAGCAAGTAAATGTAACTCTAAGATATTATGACTGTTTAGCAAGTAAATGTAACTCTAAGATATTATGACTGTTTAGCAAATAAATGTAACTCTAAGATATTATGACTGTTTAGCAAGTAAATGTAACTCTAAGATATTATGACTGTTTAGCAAGTAAATGTAACTCTAAGATATTATGACTGTTTAGCAAGTAAATGTAACTCTAAGATATTATGACTGTTTAGAAAGTAAATGTAACTCTAAGATATTATGACTGTTTAGCAAGTAAATGTCTAAGACATGATTTTAATCTCTATTAGAGCATATAAAATATTTTCCTATTTGTTGATAACTACGCTATTACTCATTCATGATTGTTAAGTGTATTGCCAACATATATGTTTGTTGATAACTACGCTATTACTCATTCATGATTGTTAAGTGTATTGCCAACATATATGTTTGTTGATAACTACGCTATTACTCATTCATGATTGTTAAGTGTATTGCCAACATATGTTTTGCATTTTTGTGGCACTTCAAATACTGTCTCCCTTGATGTGTGACACCATTACTGAACCTCTCTATTATTTGAGAATATTATAAATTATATGTGTGTATACATGCACATGTGTACTAGTATAAAGTAATTTTTTTTGTAAAATTAAAACACTTGTTTTGAAAGAAAAGTAAAAAAAATTTTTATTCTAAGTATTAACCGTTGCTTTCTACACAATTTTAACCAACTTTCGGGCAGTTTGTGGATACCACACTATTAGAAATGTTCATCTTTTGATGCAAATCAATCAGACATCAAGTTTTCTACTTCATAATAATCAAACAGAATTAACCAATGCATGTCCCATCTATAAAAATAAATGGTGGTTGAAAGGTGAATACGGCGGGTGGGGTAGCAGATCCCAGCCAAGTGCTTGGATTGAATCCTAAACCAGTTTTGATTTGTGTGCAGGTGTATTGTTGCTCCATTCTGGTCGTTTTTTGATCAATGCATGGTTTTGATCTTTTTTGAAATCATTATTGATTCAAAAATGATCATTAAATCGATCATTTGTTGTCTGTAGCAATTAGTATTAAAAGTTTTACCAGGTTTTAGAAGCTCATGATATACCATACCTTTCTGATCTCACCAAACTTAGAGCATTGCTTTCCTTCCGAATTGAGTTTTTAGTCGATGCTGATGATTGTCCCTAAATAACCCATGATTTTACTATTTAGGATTCTTAAAATTAATCCATTTTTCATTGCAAATAGCAATTCGATACAAAACTGGTTTACTTTCATGTCTTTAAAGCAAAATTTCACCAGTGTTTTTTCGGTCTTCCATCTGTCTTTCATACTATTCATGCGGCACCTGCGTTTCACCTTTTTGGATCTTTTCCATGGCTTTTAAATAGTCAGAAATAGTTTGTTGTGCAACATTTAACATTTCTGCCATTTGCTTTGCCACTTTTCTCAAAATGAAAACAAAAAATTAATGCTTTCTACAAATTACCACTTTCTAGTAAAAAATTCAACTATTTTAACACGATAAAAGATTTTTTTATCGCTTTTGTTTGCTCAATGACTTGATTTATAAAAAATATACATCTATTTTAATAATTTAAATTAAATTTTCAAATGATTGAGCATTTTTCTACTTTCTATATTTTTGTATTTAATAATACATAAGTATGTGTGTGTATGTGTGTGTATATATATGTGTTTATATATTTATATTTATATATATATATATATATATATATATATATATATATATATATATATATATATATATATATATATATATTTCTTTGAAACTTCAAGTCCCATAAATTGTTTTTTTTTTGCTTCATTTTAGTTATAATAATAATTATTATTATATATATATATATATATATATATATATATATATATATATATATATATATATATATATATATATGTGTGTGTGTGTGTAATTAAAACAAACACTTATGAGTAGAACTAATTTTATTAATTATTGTTTAGATTTTTCACGATATTCAAAAATTTCATTCAATTTATTCAATGCATAAAATGACAACTTAAACTCTACGCCCCAAAAATTTCAAACATTTTTTTTTTTGATGTATACTATAATGAAAGAGTCTTATTTAAAAAGTTTTATCATTGGCTAGAAGAGATGAAAATTTTTTAATGAAATAAATATTATATACTGCTAAAAATCTAAAACGATATCTGAATTTGTTATTTTTGTTACATTTGAGTTGTTTTTTTTTTATACGCAATTATATAATATTTTTTTAGTTTAATTATTTTGTAGTGCGCTCTTTGTAGACTTTAAAACGAAAATCACGATATTTTACATAAATAACGTAATGATATTTATAATAACGTTATAAACATAATGTTTATATATTTAGACGCGCTTGCAGAAGTTGCTTAAAGCTAAACACCCAGAGGTTATAAATTTTCGTCACTTTCTCGCCACTTTTTTTTAATGTTTTATATCATATTAAGGGCGCATCTAAATTCTTACATTTATTGCATTACATTAATATACATTTATTATATTTTTACGTCATTTTTACGTCATTGAACAGTAAAAGTATGAGTTGTGCAAAAAAAAAAACAAGTGTTTTGCTTTTACCGTCGAAAATTTTTTTTTTACATCGCCTTAATTTGTTATTTACCAATACGCTCTCTTTTTTTTAAGCATTATACTATGATTAAGCATAATATAATTTTCTAATAGTATTTTTTTAAGCATTAATATTATGCTTAATATTATAATTTGAACGTTTTTGCTTAAAGTATAGTATATCTGTACTTGCAAAACTAATTTGAGTCTATATTTCTAGAGAAATATGTACTTGCTAAAGTATTTACAAATCTTATTTTAGTTGTTTAATCACGCGTTAAGTTATTTTTTCTTAAGGTGGGTCCATGGTAAAAAAACTAAAATCTTTAATACTCTTGATATAAATTTTTTTTTAATTCAAATATGAACAAAAATATAACTGGAAGAAAAAAATTTCTTCAATGAATTCTTGAATGTAGTAATCTTAGAACAACTATAGCTTTCGATCCGCATATAGTTAAATGTTCAAATTTCTTCAATGAATTCTTCAAAAAATAAAAAAAACCATTTTAAAATGCTGAGTCAGCATAAAAATTCATAAAAAGTGAGTTGTGTAAAACAACTGTTGCTTAAAAAGTACTCATGCAATCAAATTAAAACTTTTACACTTTAGAGAAAACATATTGATAAAGTGCCTGAACTAGGATTATTTTATGTTTATGTACTTTCAAAATGGCTGCTATATTAGTGAAAATTCCAAATATTTGACTAAAAATTGATGGGGAAATACAAATTTTTCAATAAAAAAAATTTCTGTTGAAGATCTTAGTTCAGGCCCTACTTTAAAGTATAATAAACAACTCCTAAAAATTTGAACATTTAACTATATGCGGATCGAAAGCTATAGTTGTTCTAAGATTACTACATTCAAAAATATAAAAAATGCAAAAGAAATTTTAGTATTTAATAATTTCCTGCAGAATATGACTCTGAATTTTCAGTTTCTTAAAAGTTGTCTATGAAACCTTTTCTATCAGCTTTTAATTTTTTCCTTGATTCCAAAAAACTATGTTGTAGATAATGATACGGTCACATCTACAAGTTCCTATGAGCTTGTAGATGTTGTGACCGTATCAATATTATCTACAACATGGTTTTCTGGAAGTGAGGAAGGACAAGTGTGTCGATTGCCACAATGTAAAGGTTTAACTTTTCTTTTTGTTTTATTTTTCTTGTTAGCCATTTTAAACTGTTCAACTAACAAAATATCTTAAGTCATGTTTTTAAATATGTTAGTTTAACAACTTAACTCTAACAACTAACTCACACAAGATTAAATAGTTTAGGTAATTTACAAATAAAACAATTGAAATACAAACAACAGAATAGTTAAAAGCATAGTAGATATATTTTAAGTAGCACAGACTTTAATTATTTTGATTTTGTAGAAGATAAAAATTGACAAACTGTTTTGGTTGCTATGCGCGTTGCTATGAACAGCAATTAAGATAAGATGACAAATTTATTACTTTAAACAGTGTTTTAATGTAAAAAAAAAAGCACTGTCCTCTGAAAGACAGGTAATTTATCTAATAAAAACAATTTAAAAAAAAAAATCATATTTTTGCATTATTTTTTACCATGGATCCACCTTAACTTACACCTTCTATTAGAGTGCAAGTACTTTTGAGTTTTTGTTACTTACAAACTTATTTACTCCTGCTTGAAGGGATTATCTTTTTCCGGATATTTTTCTCAACTTTTCCGGATATCTAAAACTTTTTCTAAGTTTAGGTATATATATTTTTTTCATATATTTGTTTTTAAGCTTTTACACTTATCACTCATACAAAAATAAAGAAAAGTTTTGAAAAAAAATTAAAAACAATTCAGCTAAAGAGGAAAAGAAGCGAAAATAAAATAATCCGGATATTTTACCTAAACAATTTTCCGGATTTGTAAAATATGACCTGGATAATCTATGTTCCTGAAACTCTTTACTTTTATTAAACAATAATTGATTTTAAACGATTGTAAGTATACTTTAAGGGGCTACCCCCCTCTGTTTTTAAATCTAAGTATTTAAAAAAAAAATGTTATGGGTTTCAAGGTTTTAGTAAAATATAAACCTTTTTAAAAAAAAAATTAAAAAAAAATTGGTGGTTTCCTTGGTAACCAAAAAATACCCCTAAAATGACCAAAAAATAACTTCACGCTGGCCAAAATATAAGAATATGTGTACATATTTACCTTTTAAAATTTTAATACAATATTATCATAAAGTAGGGCTGTGAAATGAATGGATCAGATTTTTCATAACATTTTGCCATCATCAAAATGGCGCAATCAAAGATCATGGTCAAAATTTTCATCGATTTTAGGTCATATATATATATTTTTAATAAAATAAATAAATTCCAATCCATTCATTTCACAGAGTATAACATGATAAACACTTCCTGAAAATTTCATACAAAAATGTAATACGGTTCTCCAGATAATTTGGCCGGCGTGCACAAATTTCTATTTTGAGAAAAAGACAATTTAAGTTAAAATTTTTGAAAACAATACAATTTTTTTCATAAAAACTGTTAAAAAATAAACAAAATTTTCAAAATCCACCAGGAACATACAAGTCACCTTCTTTTTCAATTATTTTCTCATTCTTCTTCAGTTTCTTGGCACGTAATACTTGCCTTCTTAACTTTTTAACAGGGTTCATTCTAATTTCTGCTTTTTGTAATCTTTCATTATTTAATGATTTGCATCCTGCAATCATATGAAAGCCTGGTTCCATGTCCAGTTGCTTCAAAATATCAATAGATGCTTTTGCTCCAATATTAAAATTGGCAACAGCATCATATACACTAATTGTTAATTGGGTAAGTGATACAAATGTTTGTTTTGGTATACGCTTCCAAATCTTCCATAAAAAGACTCATTGGCATTTTGTGTCTTACCTTGCAAACATTTTTGTAACTCAATGTCTTTCCTTAAATCTTTAAATATAGTTCTTACTTTCATTATGACATCCATTGGTAAACCCGGTTCCGGCTTATAGGTTGATGTCTTATTTATTTTATTGGCATTGTATTTGCACCAGCTGTCTGCACCAGTGAGGCAGTGTGGCAAATGTAAGCTATTATTTTTTGAGGAAGCAACATGAAATAGTGATGCCAACACCAGTTGGATCAGATTTTTGGAGGCTTTGAGTTAAATTACAACCTTTACAATATCTGGACATGATTTCAACATTTAAAATTTTGCCACTAGCAGTAGAGATGGCAGAAAAGACTCCGTTGAGTGATGAGTATCCTTGTTTTTGCCATGTTCCATCGCAAGATAAACAAATATCGGTTACTTTCAAAGCTGTATTTTGCAATTTATTAGCAGCATTTAACATTGTTCATTCTGCTACATTTTTAACAGCTTTTGAAATTACTTTTATCAGTTTTTCAAAATTGTTTTTGTTCATTAGCTTAGGTAGATTCATAATGGTACAAAATTTTTTGATGCCTGCATATCCATGACCCAATAATCGCATACAATAAATTACTTGTTTATTGATATCAAATCCTTTTATATTTGTCATAGTTAGAAGTGTAGAACTTTTGAAAATGGTTACAAGCTCTTTTCATACACTTAAGATATAGTAAGGAAGATAAACCACGTCGTTGAGTATATCTCTCACTTAGTGAGATTGTTGAACAACCACACTCTGGACACAAAACAGAACTTAAAATAGACATTAAAACAGCAACATAAATTATACGATAACCAGATATGGCAGGTTTTGAAATAATTTTATCTTTTAAGTTTTCGATTTTATGAGCTGAAGCTGATAAATTAGGTGGAATTTCGAAAATTGGTTCAGTAACACAAGTGATGTTAGGGGCACTTGGATTTATTGTCGGCAATTCGATATTAGTACTATCAGATACAATAACAGTATTAACAGAATTTTGAACATTTCCCATATAACTTTTCCTTTTTTTATGAGTTTGTGTACATTTCTTAACTCGACAAGCTTTTCCCATTTTTACTAATTAAACTAACCTAATAAAATTTCAAGAACTGACTGAACTGAAGAATATTGTCGTACTTGATGTACCAAGGTATTGATAAATTCCAGAAAAACGCATCAAGAAGTTGTTCAAGCTTATGCATTGCAAGTGTAACACTATTTTGGATGAAATTAAGGTAAAAGTATGGTGTATAAAATTGTTTAAGTGCGTTGCTATGGCGTTGCTAAGGAAATTACTTAAGAGGTGGTTAACTTAAATAGACAATTTAAGATAGTTAAAGATTGATCTGATACATCCAAAACAAATTTTATGATTCTGCATAGTTTGAAAGAGTTAAAATTAAAAAAAAAAAAAAAATTAAAAATTTTGAAATTTTATGGGGGGATAGCCCCTTAACGATTGTAAATTAAACAAAAACATAAAAAGTGTTGTGTATGAAATATGAAGTCAATCTAGAAGCGTTTATTAATTCAGACGTTAAACAGAAATTCTTGGTTTTTTGACTTTATCTGACTAACTTTTAAAAATATGTTTGTTTTGAAAGTTTAAAGAGCTATCCTCGAATTTTACACATTAACCTTCTCTAGAGTAAATACTGACATTGATATATAAGTGAAATTTATGGATAAAAATTTTTTTCTGCATTAAAAAGTACAGACAAATTTGGTAAGAAAAAAATAGTAGAACACAATATATAAAACTCGATAAAATATTTTAAAAACTTTTAGGTTCATAAATACATTTTCTTTTGACTTCCTTTGAGAAACATTAAATTTGTAACAATCTACAAATAATCGTAAATCTTTTCACTCGGCTGATAGCATTATTTGTTTCGTGTTTATAAGTTTGCATATGGGTAAAGTGAAATTTCCTTTTTGTTCCATATTTGGTTTTTCATAGATTAAAATAACAGACTTCATACAACAACGTCTGAATAATAAGAAAAAGTAATAAGAAACAATATTAAAAACCGAAGAAGATTTAAATCCAAATCTGATTTGAAACTAGTAATTCAGGAAAAGCACC